GTTCTTGCATGCAACCTACATGATCACACATTGAAGAAAAAAATTAAAGAAAATGATGAGCTTCAATGCTGGTCAAAATACCACATTGGAAGGTGCTAGGTATTTTGTCAGACTGGTATCCGTTGCAAGTCGATCTTTTTCTAGACTCAAATTATTTAACGAGTCAAAACGCTAGCTTCAAAGGCGGCATTGCCATGTAGCAGCCGCTTGATCTGAACTTACATTCAAAGCGAGAGGTATTGTGCGCGTAAAACAAACAATGCTTGCCGCTAAACTAGTTTATTCTCCTTAAAATTAGTTGACAAATTATAAGGTAATAGTCCTAATTAAGGAACTACTAACTACGCGCTTCTTAACGCCTGTCAATCAAAAACGCGTCAGTTGAACCACCTTGCTTTAGTTTCAAAATTTTTCGGAAGACTTGATTTTCACCTACCGCGAGAACCTTTTCAAACAATATGAACGAACTCTATGAAACTTTTGTTTCGTGGTAAAATGTTATCTTCAGATGAACCAAAGTGTGATCAGAGATTATCTCGCACTTGGAAATTTTGTTTTTGACAGAAAAATGATAGCCCATGGGATATAATTAAAACGTACCTTTGGTGTGACAAAGCTTTGGCAGAGCAGATTATAATTGAGTATAACTCATTTAAAGAATTTTATGTATAAAATATAATCAATTATAATTGATTAAAATAGATTATAATCTCCTGGAAAAAAATCACCATTATATTCTATTATAAATCCTTTAAACACCTAATTTTGATATTAATCATAACTGTCAAAAAATCAACATAATCCGTTATAATTGATTACTTACTTACTAAATAGTTCGTTATTTTTCTGGGTTGCGAAGGTTTCGTCTACTCTCAATTAACAAGTATGGATAAACTTTTGATGATTTAACTAGTTTTTTTTGACAAGAGTCTTATTAGTCTTATTTAACTAGTCCTTTTGACTAGAGGCGGAGACCTTTTGTTATCACATCTGCTGCATAAAACTAGTGAAAAGGTTTAGCTGCCTATCAAACATACTATTCAGCGCTTGCTATGTTAGAATCGGTCTCCGCTTCTTGTCAAAAGACTAGTTAAACAAGACTAATAAGATTCTTGTCAAAAAGATTAGTTAAATAATCATAAATTGATCCATGTTTGTTAACTGAGAGCAGAAAACCCTTCCCAGCCCAGAAAAATAACCCAACAAATACAAATCAAGGTCTGAATTAGGTTGATACAAAAATATCAAAATATCTGAACTTCTTTCAACCATCTTAGTAAACTTGAAATTTTCTAATTTTTTTATTCTAAAAGTTTTCAGCGGAAAAAAAATATTCTTTTGTTTTGTTGGTTAGCTTTCAAAGAAGCTGATGAAACTCCATTGCTTCGCTTTTTACCTTTTTACTAAAACTTCCTGTTTCAAAAATTATTTATACTGAATTTATTTGTTGCACCCGCAATTCACAATAAAAAAAACGTCAGCTGCGTTTAAAAGTTTTTGTGGTACAGACAGAAGCGTGCGCAGAAACTTTGCGTGGGGCAAAGTTTTTTTTGAAACAAAAAATTGAAAATGTTGACCTTTTTCTTATTTAGGTCGACCAATTTGATTTTCCGAGCTCTCCGAAAAGACTACAAGGACCTTATTTTTGTCAAAAATTTTCTGCGCCGAAGGCAAATTCAGAAAAAAAAGAAACAGCCTAAAAATGGCGTATTGAGCCATATTTTGTTGAAAATTTGACTAAAAAATTGCTATTTATCTGCACGCGCTCCCTGCTCAAACCTCAGTTATATTGGCGCCTAAGGCGCTCTTACTTAATTTGTGATGTTGGTCGGGCAAAAATGGATCTCGTAAATTTGTACGAAAGGGGGGGCTTTTTGGAAAATTTTGGCAACCAGAATTGAGGGGGGGGGGGGTCGCATTGAGAAAGTCTCGGGGTATTCTCATTTAGAAAGTCAGTTGAAACCAAATAAACAAAAGTTTAATTGAAAAAATTAGTAAAATTGGCTTAGCCATAATTGATGTAATAGGACAACCTTATGCCATTATTATATTTAAGCTTAAATTTCAGATCATTCGCCATGATGATTGCAAAAACCATTCTTAACTTTGATATTTACAATGAATATCATAATTTACTTAATTTATTGGTTATGCTCTTTTGCAATGGTAATAACACGTCATCTGTTCTGTAAACTTAGATTATTCGCAGCCATTTATGTCTTTTCTTAGTCTATTGGGCAGTAATAAGTACAGAACATCTAACCGAGTGTCCAGTGAGATGACTTTGATCCAAGGCGATTCCAGGTACAAGTAACATTACTGAATCCCCAGAAACACTTGAAAATTTTTTTGGTATAGCCATTTTTGTGAAACATCAAAAAAATCAATTGAACGAAATTTTTTGCTAAGCTTAGACAACGGCGAGTTTTTTAAGGGACACATCTATGTTTTAAATACCACTCTAACTTGTATCTGAGTACAGCCGAAATCCTGCAGCTATTGTGACTAATGTGTCGACGTCTGGCTCGAATTATGGACTTCTCGGAGAATCAAGCGTGGACCCGGAAGTCCTTTTAGCCCGAATGGGAGACAAGGGCAATCAACCTTTATCGTTCCAAGCTCAAATATATTACGAATACAAACGCAGTATTATAGCTTTGACGATTATTTTTCTTTCTGTGTTACTTGAAAGTTGCGCTTTTCATACAGTTATTTACTCTTTCATACCAATTGCAAATGATGACCCCACTGTATGGTCGGCTGTTCAAACCCTAGATATTCTCACAGGAGTTTACCTTGTTCAATACTTCACAGCATTTATTACTAGCTGGCTATCAGATACACACATAGCCCGCTTTTGGACCATATGCGGTGGTTATGTAATTTACATAATAGGTTATGCAATACTTGTCATATCTCAAGCTAAAGATTACGATGGTATTCAGTGTAAAATTGAGACATTTGTTCACCACGGGCCGAATAATTTGAATGAAACGAGCCCCGAGTTAAGCGACGCGTGCTCGCCTATTTTGGTTACGTCATTACTTATAATCGGGCTCGGCTCGGGAGTTCTTTTGGGTAACATTATCATTTTTGGCGCCGATCAGACAAATTCTGCAGAGGTGGCGCCAAAGTTTTTCCACATTCAATACTGGATGATGAAGTTTGGAGCAGTTATAAGTTGTTATGTAATCGATTATGTTGAAATGCAGTTTTTTGACTCTCAGTTTTGGCCGTTGTTGACTGCGCTTATTTGTCTCTGTTTGTCTTTGGTTGTTTTTGTGGCTGGGAGGAGGAAATACATTTACCGAGAGAGGCAGTCGGATATGACTCAGACGCTGACGAAAGTGATCTCGGCTAGTTTCTCGGAGGATACGAGACGCAGGAGGAGACGTGATCGAGAAGGTCAGAACGCGTGACTCCGGCACCACTTAATTAAATTTAAAATGAGGAGGAGGGGGAAGGGGCTACTGACTGACCTGAAAAAATTTTGATAAAAGCACCTCCATGACTAAATAACCTCTATGATAAAGGCACCTAAGGTATCAAATTTGAGAATAGGGAGGGGAGCAGATCACGTAAAAAGAAGCGTTTCGAGTTGTAAGAATGATTGAATTTAAGAAATATAATCAAAACTCTAAAGTGATAGACAAGTTTTGATAATAGACAAAATATTAAAAACAATCATTTCCCCCCAAACATTTTAAGCCCGAAATTTCAATTCATTTCAAGTCTGAAAGTTCTAAATCCGCTAATCCCTAAAAGTTTTATATTTCTCATTTTATGTGGGGTAAATAGCCCCAAATTCATTATTCAGATTTTTTCTGAAACATGAAAAAAGCCAATTAAACCACAAATTTGATTTTGAACATTTTTGCTAAATTTAGTTGACAATTAAGGCAGTTTTTTAGTTAAGCTCTGTTTTGAAATGCTGTATTTTGATTTTGATTTGCTTTCAAATGTTGTGTATTAATTTTGCTCTGTTTCCAAACTTATTGACTGCACCAAAGGCGTTTTCACAAAATCATCAAGATTTTCTGGCCAAAAATGTGTCTGCACTCCTCTCCATTATCTCCGCTATTCGCTGAAGGGCTTCGAGATGTTCTTAAATCAATCCATAGTTACGGAGATTTTCATAGTAACTTTTAGTTTTTCCTCATTTACTAATAGTTTTTCTTTTAGCTTCCATGTCTAATACGACAGGAGGGGCCAGTTCCAACATCTACCGGCTGTCCCGTCTGGACCTGGTAATGTTGGACTACGGAGGGGAGTTCAGGAGAGACGTGGTCGAATGTGTGAAGAGATACTTGAGACTCCTTCTAGTCTTCATCTCCTTCATTCCCTTCTACATGATGTTGATGCAGTTCAATACTGTCTATAGACTGCAGGGGTTGCATTTGAAACTGCCCATGTGGAGTGTCAATCGCAATGAGGAATACTCAGAGGTCAGTTTTGTTCAGACCCTCGTTCAGGTTATCGAAACCAAAATTTGGTTTTTCTTGATTGCCGTGACCAAAATTTAATGTTTCTAGAGACAGGCGACCAAGGAGAGGCGTCGCGAACAAAAATTTCCGCAATCGGTGCCATCATAAAAAAAATTGCGGAACCGCCGCCTAAATCTATTGCAACTGATTAACAGCATTTCGCAATTAATTTTCAGGCTAATTTTCAGTCTGTGAAGACAAAAAGTCTTATTTTATATGGCATTATAAGTAAAAACGTCTTATGTACATTTTGGTTCAGTTTCGTTGTATGATAGCGAACTTTTTTTTCTTCGATGTTCAAGTAACTTTGATGGTTACAGTAAAATTTAGGTGCCCAGATTAATTGATTCTAGTGTGATCTTATGAGCTGATTTGATATCCCATCGAAGAAAAAAGATGAAAAGTGTAAATAGCCCAACAAATGCAATCATCAAGAAAATTATCGAATTTATGGGCAATGTGTTCTCGGAGGATTGATTTTTTTTACCACGCGAAACTTTTCTTCTACGTATAATTTTTATATTTGATGATAATTTAAACTTTGATTAACTGTACAATTGAGGATTTTTCGCCAAACAATTCATTTTGAAACGAATTTTCATCTTTTTGATTTTACTCAATTCCCTGAAAGTGTTAACTTCGGTTCTTCAAGTTTACTGACAGTTTTTCACAACAGTTTCCAATTTAATTTAAAGTTGCATCAAGAATCTCGTTATTGACAAAAATCATCAAATCATTAGCGTATTGAGTGACCCTGCAATACCTTGATAATTGTTGATTCAGACCAGTTATGAACAAAATCAAGCTGAATGGAACTCAATGAAACAGTTTTGATCACTTCAGGTTCAAAACTGTTGTTCCGACCATTGAAAATGGGGGGAACTTTGTATTCGGGTGTGTTTTGGTTTTTTGTTTTCTTCGCAAAATCAGCTACCACAAATTATCATCGGACTGGGTTGAGTGATCAAACGACATTAAAAAACTTCAAATAAACTGCCGAGAAAAACCGGTTCGAATTTTTTGATTTTTCGTCTAATTGCGCGCGAGTGAGCAGGTTTACTTTAGCTTATGCTTAATTTAAGCCTTGAAAACTTAGTTTCACTCAAATAAAGTTAGTTTTTGGAGCTCCTAGCTTCATCTTAGGAATCAATAACTTCAAAAATTTGGGGAAAAAATTGAACCGATTTTGTCTTGTCGGTATGTCCAGAAAGTGTGAAAAAAATATGAAACGTGCCCAGACTTTGAAAGTTACGTCACGGAATGATTTTCGGTGCCACTGGAAAAAAAATATGGACCTCGATCGGGAAGTTCTGAGTTAGTTTGATGAATTTGCTCGTTTTGTGGGTAATTATTTGCAAATCCCTCAAAGAATTCGCCAATGAGTCGACAAACTCTTCTTAATAGCCACAAAACTCTGATAGTTTGTTTCGATGGAATAAAAATGATTCGTAACAGTCTCATAATGATTCAGGTGTCTGAAATTGAATTACTTATTTAAGACTTCTCAGCATAGAAAACCATTGCTGGTTGTGAAAGTCACGTCGGTTTCCGAAATTTTTGTTTCGCTCGAGGACTATTTTCTTTTATTGCGATAACTTCTCGTTTTCAATACTTGAGTATTGCTGAGAAGTCTGATCTACCCTATGGTCTAAATGAGTTTTGACACTTTTTTGTACTCAGTTTTGAATGAATAAGTATATGATTGCTCCTTTTAAACAAATCTTCAGTAATTCTAAATAAATAGGCCCAAAACTGGTTTTGCCAAATTCAAACAACCACTTGTTCGTTTCTCTGCTTCCAGTATCGCATCAAGTACCCAGTGACTTGGTTCAGCACAGGGGTGGATCTGGTCACAGTCATCCTCCTCATCCCCCTCCTCTTCTTCTTCAACTCCTCCCTCTTCGCCAGATGTATGACGTCACTCAAGGGTTGTATCTGCAGGGAGGATGATGACATCTATGACAGGAGGCATGTGTTCACAAAGGGAGTTGTCTCCTTCAGACTTACAATTGGCATGTTTGCTGCTGGTAAGTGAGGTGAAACTTAATAGAAACTAATTTACAAAATAATAATTTGAGTTATGTGTTAAGATCTAAACTCATAGAGTAATTTCAGATAAGGTACACCGTCTGCTCGCCACGCTATCTTATTTTCGGCCGGATAGATTTGTGCAACTTCTTAGCCTAATACCGATCTTAATCTTACTCTTATATCTCCTAGTCTCAATAGATCTAGTGTACACCGGTTTATGCGAGTTAGTTCCGGAACGAGAACAACTGTATTCTAAGATTAATTCAAATTGTTCTGTGTTGAAACTACAAGTAGGTTCAACACTTACAAATAAGTGGGTTGTTAGTTTGATTGAGTATGATTGGTTAGTATTGAATTTTTTATAGAGATAAAATATCATAATAATAACCAATGATGAATACTAGTTTAGATCTGGTTCCACCCATCCGGGGTTTAGAGAGTTCTAGTTCGTCAGTGTTCTATTATAATGGAAGGTGGATGATGGTGTTATTCTTTAGAGGTTAAGAGCATATTCTTTTTCCTGATTTGGAAGTAGAGTTGTTATCACGATCGTTTCGGGAGATCGTATCATGATTTCTGATCGGTTGTGATAAGTGTTGATTTGGTTGATAGGAACATTGCTTTTCTCAATCTCTTTCGGTAATGGGATGTAGTTCAACTTTGGAAGCAGTACCTGTTGACTTGGATCTGTGCGTATTTTTGAATATCGAGATGGCCATATTTCGGTTGCAATGGAATTTCTTTGCTGCGATGCCAAGTCGTACTTTAAATCCGTTGACTGTAGGCAGCATGTCATGTATGTTTTTCCATTACGTAGTTGGAGTGTGATTGGGTTGTCAAGTTCCTTGCTGCTCGTCTTTGGTCTGTATGTTATCTATTTACTGCATTGTTTTGCTCCTTTTAAACAAGACTTCAGTAATTCTAAATAAATAGGCCCAAAACTGGTTTTGCCAAATTCAAACAATCACTTGTTCGTTTCTCTGCTTCCAGTATCGCATCAAGTACTCAGTGACTTGGTTCAGCACAGGGGGGGATCTGGTCACAGTCATCCTCCTCATCCCCCTCCTCTTCTTCTTCGACTCCTCCCTCTTCGCCAGATGTATGACGTCACTCAAGGGTTGTATCTGCAGGGAGTATGATGACATCTATGACAGGAGGCATGTGTTCACAAAGAGAGTTGTCTCCTTCAGGCTTACAATTGGCATGTTTGCTGCTGGTAAGTGAGGTGAAATTTAATAGAAACTAATTTACAAAATAATCATTTGAGTTATGTGTTAAGATCTAAACTCATAGAGTAATTTCAGATAAGGTACACCGTCTGCTTGCCACGCTATCTTATTTTCGGCCGGATAGATTTGTGCAACTTCTTAGCCTAATACCGATCTTAATCTTACTCTTATATCTCCTAGTCTCAATAGATCTAGTTATGCATCGGTTAGTTAAACATCGGTTTATGCGAGTTAGTTCCAGAATGAGAACAACTGTATTCTAAGATTAATTCAAATTGTTCTGGTGTTGAAACTACAACTAGTTTCAACACTTACAAATAAGTGGGTTGTTAGTTTGATTGAGTATGATTGGTTAGTACTGAATATTTTATAGAGATAAAATATCATAATAATAACCAATGATGAATACTAGTTTAGATCTGGTTCCACCCATCCGGGGCTTAGAGAGTTTTAGTTCGTAAGTGTTCTTTTATAATGGAAGATGGATGATGGTGTTATTCTTTAGAGGTTAAGAGCATATTCTTTCCCTGAATTGGAATTAGAGTTGTTATCACGATCGTTTCGGGAGATCGTATCATGATTTTTGATCGGTTGTGATAAGTGTTGATTTGGTTGATAGGAACATTACTCCCGTCAAAAAAAGGGTGTTGTCACAAAGCGTGGGTGTAGCACGGTGGGTGAGGCTGGCTATAGAGCATGCTCAGGAGTGAGGGTATAAATTCATGCTCTCTTTTTTAGGAGGGTCTCGTATAAGATCAATATTATGATTAAAATAATCGATTATGAACCATGCTAAGATTTTTTGTTAATCGTTTTTAACATGATGTGGTATGTCATTACTAGTTAGATTGCATTTCAAATTTTTGAAAATATATATATTTTTTGTCGTACGGTTGTGTGTCGGGATGTTTGAGTTGGTGAATCACTTTGAGGTTCTTTCGATTCTAATATAAATATATAGCTATAGATAAGTGAGAATACATCGTTTGTGAATATGAATTTGCTCTTTGTGAGTTTTGGTGTTGTATATTTTTATGTTTTCTGTAAAAACTTTTGAAACTTCAAATTCTACGTCATCGGTTTGAATGAGATATTTGTTGTGAAATGCATTTGGTGATCTAATTTCTATTGTGTAGATTCCATATTGCGATGTGAGACGACATATGCTTTTAAGTTAGTAATCAAGAAGTTGTCTTCTTATTTTTGCATCGGGAAATTTTTTTGTGCCTGGACTATCTCCTTTTTCGAATAAATTTACGATTAAATTTTGTCAAAATTGTACCTTTCCTCGAGCTTCAGTTAATGGATGTATTAAAATTGGAGTACTGAAATTTCTAGGTTTTCTTCATTTCGAATCTTTTTTGTGTTGTATTACTGTTAGTTTGTAATTTTCAATGTGTCTTATTGGTTGATTCCAATTGTACAGACGTATTGGTTTGTTTTCTCAACATTTTTTTATTCTACGTTTGCCTTTTAATGATGCTGGTGATGTGGTTTCTGAGTCAGAATAGTATATTTGATCGTCAATTTGATGGTTTTAGTTTTTTGAGTCTTTTAAATTGTGGAGTTCTTGTATTGCGGTTGTTTCTGATTCTGAGACTGCGTTTCTTTGTTTTGAAAATCGTTTTCTAATAATTTGTTTTTGTTTGTTAATAATTTTCTTTCTTAGTGTTTGTCTTTTTGTTCTAATGCATCCTATTGTTTGTCTATGTGGTATAATTACGAGGTCGAATCTTTCTTTATTAATTAAACAGTTGTGTAATATGATTGTTTGTTTGTTTACTAAATTGTCTCCTGACATAAGGTTTAGGATGATGGATGCAATATTGGGTTTAGTGATTTCTAATATCCTAAACTATCAGTTCTTACAATTTTTTGTGGTTAGCTTAACTTGGGTCTTATTTGTTGTGTTGGAGAGAAAAGCGTATATCGATTCCTGAGAATGATTTTTACTTTCTCGTGTATAATTTTAAGTTAAGTTAGACTTACCTAATCTTACTTAGGGGTTGTGATTTGTGATCAAGGGTTGGCGAGTAGTAAGTCAATCCACAAGGTTCAGCTATAATTAGAACGCAAGTAGTTCGATAGATGCTATTGTATGACTTACTAAGCATAAGTGTTTTAGCGTGGGCCATCTAAGAGGAAGGGAATCAAGTGAAGGATGAGTAACCGAAGTTCTTCACCTTTTATCCTAATTAGAATGGTTAGTTGTTTGAAAAGTTTCTGATAATTCTGGGTCTTTGATAAGGGCTGGATAGTGAATCGACGTTTGAGGTCGTTAGACACTAATTAATATGGGAGGGGAGAACAAAATTGTTCTATTTGTCCCAAAGATAGGCCTTGATGAACAGAAATTTAGATATTTAGAAATTTAGAAAATTAGATATAGTTTAAATTAATTTAAAGATCCAAGGAAAACCTTGATGATCTGTTACTTAAAATGAAATTAATTTGAGTGAAAGCAAGGATAAGCCTTGATAGTTTATTGATAAAGGTTAGGGTTATTTTTTAAATTTTGATTATTGTTAGTTTTTGAGATTGGCTGTTATATTTTAGGTGATTTATACATAATAACAATTTAAGATTTATACTAACTATTTTTGTATTAATATATTCAATAAATACTTTTCCAAGATGTTAATTAAATTACAGCTGATTTATGGAAAACGACGAGTGTTGTTTTTATCGGTCGTTATTGTACAATTATTAGGTTTAGCGCCATGAAAAATTTTTGAAGAATATTTTTCAAAATTTTTTGTCATTGAATGAAAATTTAAATTTACTGCTGAAAGTATTCTGATTATAAAAGTTTGATCTGACTTTTGGTCGCACCAGATGAGTTATGTATTAAGTACTATACTCATAGAGTAATTTCAGATAAGGTACACCGTCTGCTCGTCACGCTATCTTATTTTGGGCCGGATAGATTCGTGCAACTTCTTAGTCTAATACCGATCCTAATCTTACTTTTATATCTCCTAGTCTCAATAGATCTAGTGTACACCGGTTTATGCGAGTTAGTTCCAGAATGAGAACAACTGTATTCTAAGCTTAATTCAAATTGTTCTGGTGTTGAAACTACAAGTAGTTTCAACACTTACAAATAAGTGGGTTGTTAGTTTGATGGAGTATGATTGGTTAGTATTCAATATTTTATAGAGAAAAAATATCATAATAATAACCAATGATAAATACTAGTTTAGATCCGGTTCCAATTTTCTTGGGAACTTGCCATCACAAATTTTCAATTGACGATTTTCTCGAGGCGGCGGGTTTTGTCGACCTTTATTGTACGTCGATTCAAATTGATTTTCCGAGCGCCCCAGAACACTATAAAGACACTATTTTGACAAGATGTTTTGCATCGCAGATAATTTTTTGAATAAATTGAAACATGTCAAAATGGCATGGAAACGGAAACATTTTGGGAAATTGTGACCAAAAATGGTATTTTCACGGCGCGGGCTTCTCTTCAAAATTCGTATACCTTCGTATAGTTTCGCGTGTAGAAATCTTTTAGCGTTGGTCGACCGAAAATGGATATCATAAATTGATACCATAGGGGGACCCTTTAGTTGGTGACGAGCTCGAAACCTTGAGGGAGATAGTATACCCCTAAGTCTACCCTATGTCTACCCCCTGGATCTTAAGGCATTTTCCACCTGAGCCACAGACAAATATCATTAGAAACTTTGTTTAAGAAATTCTTCAGGGTTTCTGTTGACTTGAAAATCAAACAATGCAATAGATTTTTCGATACTGTAAGGAAAACACATTGAGAGCTCTTCATTCATTGTAACATCTTACAATTTTTAGTATTACCAACAAATACATCGATACTATCATATTTAAATTGGTCTTTATTTCAGCTCTTTCGCTGACCCTCGCCGGCCTTTTGGACTCTCGGCGGGTGAATGTGTACGAGAACTGTCTTCAAGACTATTCGAAATCACCCGAAGACTGCTCAGTAATTGAGCACATTAATGGAAATGACTTCCAGGCATCTCAACTCTCCATCCAGTGGCAGGTCACTTTCCTATGTCAAAGCCCTCATACAAACTTCTTAAAGAGAACAAAAGTACACGTTTTTGTTAATTACAAAAACGAAAAGTAAAATTTAAAAAAATATACTAGAAAAATCTACTAGGGAAACGAAACCATTTGTTGTGCTAAGTCGACTATGTGCAAAAAAAACTGTTTCAAAAGACGTTATACCTATCTAACAAACCGTCAACAATACAAAAACTCAAACTCAAAAAAATGTTCATGGATTTCCACAGGAATCCATTTTCCATCCCGCACTCAGTAAAAAAAGAAAATAATCGATTACATTATATTTATAGTCGTACTTTTAACAAAATTATAATTAATTATAAGCGCCAACTTTAGGCGTTTAAACGATTTATAATCCATCATAATGATAACATTTACGGTGACATTTTAATAAATTATAATCTATTATAATAGATTTTAATCCCGTTTTCTACCAAAATATTATTTCACAAAAAAAAGCAATTACAATGGATTATAATTTAGCTATTCTGCGTGAAAACACAGTAATAATCAGTAAGAAGTAAGAATCAGTAAACCAGGGGCGGATCTAGGATTTTCATGAGGGGGGGGGGGGGTCTCCCAAACCCTATAAAGGTTGACTAGATTGATTCCAAGCTCTCCCAAGGCATTAAAAAGAGCCTGTTTCTGTCAAATCTATGCGCCGCAGGCAAAATTTTGAGAAAAAACGAGCCAAAAAAGGCGTTTTTAGGCACTTTTTGGAAACATTTGACCTCAAAATTAATATATATTAGGCGCCGTCAGTAAGCCAAAAATGGATATCTCAAAATAGTGGGGGGAGGGATGGATCTTAAAATAGTGGGGGGGGGGGGGAAATGGGGAGACCTTTTGGGTCGACAGGGGGTCGAATCCCTGAGGGGGTAGTTAGCCCCCCGACGCCCCCTTCCTAAATCCGCTGGTGGCTATTGAGACAAAATTACAGTTTCTTTTATTCGGTAAACATCTGAAAAGCACACGAAACAAAACAAAACTAAAACGTAATGAAGCGATGACGTTTGTTGAATAATAATGGGTTATAATCCATTATAATGTATTATAATTCAATAAAATTTGAGAAAATTTTTTTCTCATAAAACAATCGATTATAATTGATTATAATGATTTTCATTGTTTCGAAAAATAGTAACGTTATAATCCTTTTTTAATCGATTATAATCAATTTTTTTGGAAATTTATGGAGATTGACAATAAAAATTCATTATAATTTATTGTTTTATCCTTTTACTGAGTGCGGGATCCCCTTTCTTTTCATGATTTACCGAATTGATACTTTTAATTCATAAAAATAGACTTATTATTTTTATGACGCAGAAAAAAAACAGCGAGAAACTGTGAATTATAGGCGAAGTAGAAATAATAATCAGAAATAATAGAAATTAGTTGATCAATGTTGAAGATATCAAATAAATTTAATTAAAACAAGACAAGAGACGCCCGAAACGGGCTTCACTATTTCACGGCGTTATCACAAATTGATTTCATTTTAATGATTGCTATTGTTTTTAATTTTACAATGAAGGACATCTAAGTTGCAAACAATATTTGTTATATTATCATTAAGCTTCAGACTTTTTAATCTTTACCGAAAAATAAATAGGAGACTATAACAAAATACTGGTTAATTTTTATTGAAATTTATAGAATTTTTCTTATTCATTAAGAGGCCAAACTGTGCATTCTGTGAATTGTAAGCGGATTCCGCAACAGGCTAAATTCAGATTTTTCGCGGAATCCGCAACATTGCTCTTTTTCTTTGATCTTCTTTGCAGTTTTGGATTCCACAAACAAATACTTAAAACACTGTACCGCTCAAAACCGCTCGAAAAATAGGCAAAATTGCGGAATCCGCAACTGTATTTGCGGAATCCAGAACAGTTTGTGGAATCCACAAACAGATAATAAGACATGAGTATAGTTACATTAAGCTGTTGCGGAATCCGCAACTGTAAGCGAAATCCGCAAATTGTTAGTGGAATCGGCAAACTGTAAATGAAATCCGCAAATTGTAGGTGGAATCCGCATTTTGTTTGCGGATTCCACTTATATTTGCGGATTCCACTTACATTTTATGGAATCCACTTACAGTTGCGGAATCCAGATTAACAAACTATGTTTGATTGTTGCGGAATCCGCAACAAAACGAATGTGCCGACAAAAATTACGTTACAGCTATTTGTACGCGGAATCCACGAAACTTTTGTAAGTGGAATCCATTTACTTTTTGGAACATGTTCAAAGATTTCTCTCTGGAATCCAGGAACATACAGGCACAAAATTGTGTGCCTTTCCAGTGCACAGTTTGGCCTCGTAATGTTAGTCAATAAGTGCATCAAGGATACGTTTTATGCCCTTATAATTATAAAACTAACTGTGGTTCTGTTTTAAGGTTCCACAATATGTGCTAGCAGGGGTGTCTGAGTTATTCGTTGTTGTAACTGCCTATCAGTTTGCATATTTGGAGGCCCCTGATCAACACCAATATCAGTGTTAGTTCACATATGAGGATTTATTTTTTTCCTTACTCCTGCTGATGTTTAGTAGAAACTTTGTTTCAGACAAGATGCAGGGAGTGTTTGTTGGATTAACTTTCTTTGCACAATGTAAGTTAAACTATATTTCTGCTTAAAGCAGGTAAAAAAGAAAGGAAATAGTTTTCACAAAACTTTTACCATTTGAAGTTTTCTAAAAATTGGTTCTGCTCTCTTAGTTATTTTTCCTTTTCTGTACGAAAAAAAGCAATTTTGCCAAGCAATTTATACAGAATGTGCGACCACACTATTTGTTACAATCATGCTTGGAACAAAAAAAAGACCAGTTGATTTTTAAATCAATTTTTTCGACTCCTAGAAAAAGTTCTACTGAAAAAGTCCTCGAAGTTTCAGTCAAATTCCAAATCACGAGTGGACAAAGTTTCCGTTAAATGATAGTTGATTGACGCCGTCCGAAGTTTCTCGGGTGATACACGATTAGGCGTGAAAAAAACTTGGATCACAATGGTTCAAACAAAACATGTTTTTCTTCAACCAAGCTTTTCTAAAACAACAATTTTTAATCTATTTTCTCAAAATATTGACAGAAATCCTTAATTTTTCTATAAACTTTCCTGTTTCAGTTCTGGCATCACTTATTGCTATGACGCTGGGCAAATTTCTGGAAAACTTCGGAGATCTCTGTCACTCAAGCACCGCCTACTCACGTGACTGTTCCCCTGGAGATGACAGACTCTACTGGTACTTCTACTTACTTGGTTTTCTGCAGTTTGTGGGACTACTTTGGAATAAATATGCAGTCATGGACTACCTCAAGTGGGACTACACTGGAGAAGGATACTGTTTTTGAGAGATGAAAAGGATAGAATTAATAAAATAAACCCAGTAATCAAACTGTTTTGAGTTTTAAAAACATATCAATAACTAACCATCTACTTTGTTGTCACAGATGAAAAAAAAAATTTTTTTTTCTAGAATTGACTTGAGGTATTAACAATTAAAGAACAATATCTGTTTTTTATAGAATCATTTATATTCAAGACTATTCATACTCGCGAAAAAGGATTAAATTACAAGCTGCTCAGCTCTTTACGGAGAGCCGATGTTGTGCCCCTGGTTAAGAAATGCATGCATTTTTTTTATTCTTCTGGGCTGGGTAATGATGCCGTACCCTCAAGCAACGAGCATGGATTATAGCGGGGCTCAAATCTTCGACATGTCAATTGAAAAGAGGCGACCCAAAATTAAAATGTGTAGAAGTACTGGATTCTAGAAAAGTTTATTGAATAAAATTTTGTGTTAGTAATGTCAATGTGCGTATTTTCAGTAAATATTTGTTAAAATGGGATTCATTCAAATCTTAGACTTTCAGTCATGGTTTATACATGACATATGGACATTTCAAATTCACAATAGGTCAAATCAATCAGTGCAAGATTGTGGATTAATCAATTTGTGAATTATCATCAGTTTTTCCTTTGCTTTTAATCTCCAATTCGAATTTATGTCATTTTTGTTGTCAGGTAGTATATTGCAAAGTAGCGTTTAAGAACTTATCATCGCATAATGATGGTTTTCTTGACCGTAGTTGTCGACGTTTTTCCGCCTTGTTGCTGTTGCGGAACCATTCCCATCCCCGCATTCATAACCCCCTCCTGATAATACGTACTGGTCGTATGCTGCTGCTGGTTCATGTTTTGCATCGGCATCGGAACATTCTGTTGTTGATACACCGTCTGGTTAACACTATTCATATTACTCATGTTACTCATGCTACTCATATTATGAGCATTATTGGCCATTCCGTTAGCAGTCATAATCGATCCCGTGTTATTGACGAATGCGTTAGTAGTCATAACCGAACCCGCTGCGCCTTGCTTCATCTCAACCTGGGCCAAAGTCTTCTGCCGGGTAATTCTTCCCACTGCTTTGCCGATGCCTCTGTACATAAGTGGGTTACTGGGCACTGGTTGGCCTTCAATCAGGTTGTCATGGTAACCGACCATAGAGAGACTCTTGTCGTAGTAGAAGTTACTGCCTCCGGCATTCATCGGGACAGACTTGGTCGAGTTCGGAACCTTCCCGAGGATTTCCATGTCGCTCTTCGAGCTTCCCTCGAGGAAATGCGTGAACATGGTTCCAACTCCTCTGACCTGAAAGAAAAAATTGTTCAACAAATAAATGAGTCAAAAATACAGATTGATAGATTACCGATTGATTCAAGAAATGAGACATCTGAAAACAGTCATAATTTGTCTAATGACAATCTCTCGGACTGGGTTCTTTTTAGGATTAGTGCTTATTTTTAAAAAACCTTAAAAGTGGATTTATTTTGACAACAATTTGTTATAATTATTAAAAGTAATTATTAACATCACAACGAGGCTTAAAAGGTTACTAACTTCTTTATTAAGTATCATTATTACACTGCCTATCGTTTAAAAAGGATTTAAACTTGAACTTTGAGGACCAATGTTTGTGACATTAAACGTCAATCATCACTTTTGCTCACCTCTATTTCGCCCCGATCGAGGATGGAGAATCCGAGTCCGTCGATTTTGGCCTTGGTGGCTGGACTTATCTGGATGCGACCCAGGAGTCCGTGGGATTCCATGCGGGATGCCAGAGTGAGGGTCGATCCGTAGACACAGAATCGGGGGATCTTTTCACCGATAATGCCTGGAATGAGAGATCTTGTGGTTGAAACAATTTCTTATGGTTGACACTTCAACATTCAAAATTTGCACATCAAGAAATGTACGAGAATTGAAAATACATTCAATCAGACAAAAAGATTTCAAGGATGATGCTTCACAATTTAACAATTTAAAAAGTTATTTAACAAAATTTCTGATTTTCATCTAACAAAAGTTGCGATGATTTATTAACCAGTTATAACAGGTCCAGTGTGTACTCCAATCCTGAGTTTGATGGATTCGCTGGTGACAGGAGAGAGCACTTGTTTGCTGGCGGCCATGATGGCGAGCGCCATATTACACACTCGCTCTGCGTGACTATCCACCGGAATCGGGAGTCCGCCACAACACACGTACGCATCACCAATGTACTCCACCTGAAATAATGTGATCAGGGCTGGTCGATAAGGTAAGGCCTTATTAGGTAACCTATTTCTTCCTTAAAAGTTAGCTGAAAAATTTCTTCCTCCTTTAAGACAATAAAAACTATAGCACTAAAAAATGAAATCAATCCAAAATTTTAAATCTAGATCACATCAGAAAAAGTTCAGTATTTATTTTCAACGTCTTTTTTTCGTTCTTAGAAAGCTTAAACACTCGCGGTGAACAATGATTTTTCAAACTGTTCGCCTATTTGAAGCTTCCTAATACATTGCCTTGTGAATATAGTGTGATAAAATTCGTGTGTGAAGCATTAATGCGCAATCGCAACTCATTATTAGTCATTAAGTTCAAAAATTCACTTGGCCTTAATTGGTCCACACTTTGGCCGGAAGACTTGCGGTTATTTTCCTCAACCTTGCCTTGATTACTTTACGCCTGACGAAAGGTCCTACATTATCTTATCAAATAGACGAAAAATCAAATCTTAACGACTTGCCCTGAATGTGATTTAAAACAAATCTTTTATTTTTTTTTTTCACAAAAACTTGCAAATAGGTTTCACAAAACAAACCCAGCAGTTATCTTTGTTTCAGAAGTAATACCTAGCAGTTATCTTTAGGTGATTTTTTTAAAGATATGCTTGAGGTTTGTTAAATTTTGATTAAACTTGTACTTTCGCCATTTGAAGCTAAAATCTTTACCACATTTCGAAATCAAATTCGATTTGTGCTTTTAAATGTCACTGTATCCATTGATTTGTATGTCGAAACAGAGACTGAAGGCAGATACCTTGAAGACATCGTGAACATATGTCAGTCCGTCCAGTACTCTCCAGAGGTCATTCAAGACAGTGGCCACCACATCTGGTTTGCACTGGTTGCATATCTGGGAGAACTGGACCACATCTGCAAACAACACAGTCACTTCTTCGTACACTCCAGCTGTGAAGTCCAGACGATAACTGAAAAAAAACAAAGAAATTGACGAGAACGAGTGATTACCAACCACTATTTGCAGTGATTTGAACTTGAAACAGTTCAAAAAAGATGCCTCAGTTTCGAGAAAACCTGGTCTGAATTTTGCCGTTTTTAAGATAAAATGGCATGAAATTTACGATTGATAGAATAAGAGACTGAACTCTCAATTCAATGTTTCATTTCAAGCTGTTCAGTTATGATTGGTTATTACCTAATTCGAGTGCATTCTACAAAAAACCAAAAAATGCAAAAATCAAATAAATTTTTCATTTTTAAAATTTTTTTTTTCACTTTTTTTTTTAAAAAGTTCAACCGTTGTGATCAGATCGCTTTGTGCAGCTTGTACAGCAACCGGCTTTCGTTGCTTC